AGCAGCAGCAGCGCAGCAAAATAAACAACCATAAGTAAGCTGCTCTCTGTGCGCTTACCTGCAGCAAGAAAGCAGCTGCAGCGCCCTTTTTTGTGCACTTCATTTCAATTTAAAATGCATTTCTTCTTAAGAAAAGGAGCTGCTGGCGTAAAGCAGCGCAACAGCAGTGACCACTGGTCACCTGAAGAAGCAAGGGCTGCAGGATCCTCCAAAGTGTTCAGTTTTATTTGAAAGACAAATCAAATGGACCATTCTTTGCAACTTAGGCCGTTAAATGGGGCTTTTGCCTCGCTTTTAAGGGCTTATTTGGCCCGCAAAGATCCAGAAACGAATTAAAATAAATAAATAATAATAAAATTAAAAAAGAATTCAAAAAAATAAATCCAAAAGCCTTCTGCCGGAATCGAACCGGCGACCTTCCGCTTACTAAGCGGATGCTCTACCGACTAAGCTAAGGAGGCGGAGAGACCTGCAAAATGAATGACATTAGACAAATAAATAAATAAATAAATAACTAAATAATAAAGTAAATAAATAAATAAATAAATAATAAAGTAAATAAATAAATAAAAAAATAAATAGATAAATATTGGAGGCAATGAAATCCGAAAGAGTTGGAGGGATTTGAAGCGGAAGCGCAAGAAACACCAGAAGTGAATTTCTGATTCACTTTCGAAGATTTTGAATTGAAATAAGTTCAATTTGAAGATAAATTAATTAATTTATTAAATTAAATTTGAAAAATAATAATTGTAAATATATTTTTTGCTCATCTGTTCAAAAAAAGGGAAAAAAAGTTAAATTTTCGTGTTTTCCCCGTTTGCTGCTGAGACCGGAGAGTTTCATTTCTTTTGCAGCTTTCTTTCGTTTGAAGTTGTTAATTAATTCTTCATTTATTTTATTTTGAAATAAATGAATAATTTAAATTCGGAGATTCTTTTTTAATTCATCTTTTTATTTCCCCCCTCTCAAAGCTCTCACGTGGCTGCTGCAGCGCATTTGCGATTCAGCAGCAAGCTGCACAACCCCTCCCGTGCTGCAGTGCTGCAGCAGCAGCGGCTCCTGCTGCAGCAAAAGTTAAAGGAGTATTTGAATTCAATTAACGCTCAAGAAAGCTTTTTTCTTTTTTAAATAGTAGCAGAGGAGCAGCAGCAGCAAACAGCACCCCGGCTGCTACGTTAACGCTCATTTTGTGGCAGCAGCTTCTGCTGTTGCTGCTGCTGTCGCTGCTGTTGCTGCTGTTGCTGTTGCTGTTGCTGCTGCTAATGCTGTTGCTGCTGCTGCTAATGGTGGTGGTGCTGCTGCTGATGGTGCTGCTGCTGCTGCTGCTGCTTTGAGAGGCTGCACTTGGCGCAGATGAAAAGAGGCAAGAACTTAAACAAAGTCTTCTTGGGCATCAAGAAATGAAAACAGAAACGTCTTTACAATTCTCACTTAAATGACTTTAATTCTTTTTTTGTTTTGTTTGAACTGCTTCCCGCGTTGCTGCTGCAGCTTCTTCGTGCTTTTTTGTCGATTAAAAGCCATTTAAAAGTCAAATAATTCAAAAATATAAAAAGAACTTGATTTAAAGCCTTCTGCCGGAATCGAACCGGCGACCTTCCGCTTACTAAGCGGATGCTCTACCGACTAAGCTAAGGAGGCGAAAGTGACCTTCTGAAAAGAGCGATTTGGCGCGAACTTGAGCTTGAACGCAATTTATTTTCCCTAATTCCAGACTAAATGCCTTTATTTTACTTTAAGTTGATTTAATTTCATTAATTAGCGCAAATTTGAAACATATTGAGGCAATTTACAGGCAATTCTGGCCACTGGGCACTTCGCCGGGGCTCGGGTGTCTCGGCGGCGGTGTGCATCCCGGGTTTCGTTGCTGAAGCCTCCTGAGCGATCTGCGCAGTTTAATTCATTTAATTTAATCGATTGAATGGATTAAACTCTTAAATTAAATTAACATCAATAATTTAAATTCATTTCATTCCAATTTATTCAGTTTCCCCCAAGTTTTTGCAAAAGTGCAATTTGGGAGCTGCAGCGCAGAAGACGAAGTGGCGGAGGCCGCGCGAAGTCCGAGAGGGATTTCTTTCGAAAGAATTAAGCGAAACTAATCAGTTTAAAAGCAGCATTTTGAATTAATTAATTAAAATTAATAAACAATGATTAAAATCAATTAAAATGAGGTAAATTTAGGGGAATATGATCCATTTCAATTCAGGATCGGGCCAAATAGTTCTTCTCTAGAGGTCACTTTCGCCTCCTTAGCTTAGTTGGTAGAGCATCCGCTTAGTAAGCGGGAGGTCGCCGGTTCGATTCCGGCAGAAGGCTTTTAATAAACTCTTTAACTTTAAATTTAAATTTAATTTTACTTTTGTTCTTTTTTAATTTCAATTTCCTTTTTCTTTTTGTTGTTTGAAATTTCCTTTTTCTTTTTCCTCTTCTTTTTATTTATTTTAATTTTTTTTATTCTTATTTGACTCTAAAGAAGGCCCTAGACCTTCTTCATCTGGGGGCTTCTTTAGCAACAGGCAGGGAGGCAATAAACCCTTTATGCAAGCTTTTAATTCCACGATTTAGGGTTTGGACTCGCGCCCAAGGGTTTAGGGTTTAGGGTTTAGGATCTAGGGTTTAAGGTTTAATGTTTAGGTGCAAGCAGCAAGGCAGGCTCGTAGCCCCTGTTTGCCAAGGGTTTAGGGTTTAGGGTTTAGGGTTTGGGCTGCAGCGCCTCTTTGTTTATTAATTAGATAATTTAGACAGATTATTTCTGCTGTCTTTCGTTCGAAGCCAGCGGCTTGCTGCAGCAGCAGCTGCGGCACTCTAAGAACAGCAGCTGCAGCACCAGCAGCAGCAGCAGCACCAACGGCGGCAACGGCAAAACAGCAGCAACAGCAGCAACAGCAATAGCAACAGCAATAACAGCAGCTGCAACAGCAGAAGCAGCAACAACAAGAGCAACAACAACAGCAACAGCAGCAGCGGCAGTAACAGCAGCAGCAGCAGTTCAAGAAGGAGCAGCGCAGGAACTTGGGGCTCTTGCCACTCCATTCAGTTTTCCGCAGCTACAACATTGATTTTAATTATTTATTTAATTATTAAAACTAAATATTTATTTTTATAACAAATTAAACATTAAATATGATATTTCCGCGTTTTAGTGCTGCCGCTCGAACTACCGTGCATGCAGCCACAGCGCTGCCCCCCCCAGTGGACCACTGGTCCACGGCGGAAAACCAGGACAGAAAGAAATAAAAGAAAATAAAACGAATTTATTTATTTTATTTTTATAAAAACAATTTTATTTACTTTTAAAAATAAAACAACAGAAATTAAACGAACAAACCCACAAGTCCGCGCCTTCTCGCCCACCCCGTGTGGAGCAGCCCCAGCCAGCCCCAGCAGCAGCAGCAGCAGCAGCAGCAGCAGCAAATAGCGCATTTGAACGGCGTTTGAGCCTCAAATGGATTTAAAAACGAGCAGATTTATAATTTACATAAATTAGCAGCTTAAAAGAACCAAAAGGAGGACTTCTTGGCGAAAGAAAAGAATTTCTAAACTCCATTTTCCCGCAACTTCCGCCTCCTTAGCTTAGTCGGTAGAGCGTCCGCCTTGTAAGCTGAAGGTCGCTGGTTCGATTCCGGCAGGGGGCTTTTGCTGCTTCCCAAATTTCCTTTTGCTGCTCTCTGGCTAGCTGGTGGCTAGCCGGTGGCTAGCTAGCGATTAGCTGGTGGCTAGCTAGTGGCCAGCTGGTGGCTAGCTGGTGGCGAACTGGTGGCTAGCTGGTGGCTAGCTGGTGGCTAGCTGTCAAGGGGCAGCGCGGCCCTGCGGGCTGGCAGCCTAGGGTTTAGGGTTTAGGGTTTGGCCAACGAGCACTTCCCCAACGAAAGCACTGCTAGCCACACAGCCAGCTAGCTAGCCAGGCAGCTGCACAGGCTGGCTAGCTAGCTAGCTAGCTAGCAGGGAGTAGCTAGCTAGCTAGCTAGCAGGGAGCAGCTAGCTATCTCAGGAGGGCAGCTGCCTAGCGACTCAGAGACCCGCCAAGTACAGCTAAACAACTGGCTAGCTAGCTAGCTAGCTAGCTAGCTAGCTAGCTAGCTAAGCAGCTACAGAAGACGCACCAGCGGCTAGCTATGTTTGTAGCCACGCAGCTAGCTAGCTAGCTAGCTAGCTAATATAAAGCGCTAAGCAGCAGCAGAGAAAGAAGTGGCAAATGAATTGGCACTAAAGAATTCAGTTTTGAATTTTTTTTTTATTTTTAATTCCTTTCAGGCAAAGGCAAATGCCTCTGACGCAAATCGGGGTTTAGGGTTTAGGGTTTGAAGCAAATAAGGGTCTAGGGTTTAGGGTTTAGCTAGGGTTTGGGAGTGGGGCTGCCGCAGCTCGGCCTCAGTGGGCTCAAAAAAGCAGCAGCAGCAGCAAAGAGTTTAATTGGAATTAAAAAGATTTTAATTAAATTAAATGCTTTTAATTGGAATGAAATGCTAAATGGAATCAAATGGAATTAAATGGAATCAAATGGAATTAAATGGAATTAAATCCAATTTAATGGAATTAATTTGAACTAAATGGAATTAATTTGAACCAAATGGAATTAATTTGAATCAAATGGAATTAAATGGAATTAATTTGAATTAATTTGAACCAAATGGAATTAATTTGAATTCAATGGAATTAAATGGAAATAATTCGAATTAATTCGAATTAAATGGAATAAATTTGAATTGAATGAAATTAATTCGAATCAAATGGAATTAATCCGAATTAAATGGAATTAAATGGAACAAATTTAATTAATTTGAATAAATTCGAATAATTTGAATAAATTCGAATAATTTGAATTTGGAAAAGGAAAGAAAGTCCTAATTGTATCCGTTGGGGTTTTGGGACTGCCAGCGCCACGCGGACTCGCACGCCTCCCTGGGACATTTTTTGTGCAAAAAAGCGAATTTTGGAACAAAATTGAATTTAAATTTGAATTAAATTCCAAAACTTTTATTTTATTTCTTTTTTTAATTTCTTTTGTCCAAAAAAACCCACCGAATGCTCCTCTCCGCGCGCCAGCCGAGCTCCTTCTCCGCCAGCGACGGGTCCGCCACCACGTAGGCCAGGTCGCCGGGTCTTCTGATTTCGGAAAGAAAACGAATTAAAACTGATTTCAAATTGAATTTAAATTGAATTTAAATTAAATTGCAATTAAATTGCAGTTCAGCGGTGGTTAAACGAGGACTATTTCATTTAAATTAAGTGTTTTCGAATTTCCCATTTTTCGCCGATTCTGCATTTGTAGGTGCAGGAGCTGTCTGTACACCTAAAACGCCTTTCAACGGAAGTGCGCAGAAAGGAAATAAATGAATTTAATTTAATTTAATTTAATTTAATTTAATTTAATTCAATTTAATTTAATTTGATTTAATTTGATTATATTTTATTGTTTAATGCGCTATATTTTGTCTTATTGTGTTGTTTAATTATATTGTTTTATATATGTCCCCCCCATTCGACTTTCACGAAAGTGCCATTTAATTCATTTTTAAATTTATTTCTTTTCTGTTTCTCGCCACTTAACTTAATTCTTTAAATATAATTTATTTTAATTTATAACTATTATTAATTCATTTTAATTCAGTTCTTTATTTAGTTTATTTAGTTTAATTCTTTTATTTAATTTGATTTCCAAATCCCACCGGCCCACAACTTTGAAGGGAATTTTTCTTCCCGAGGCTTCTTCGAAGAGGCTTTTGAGTTCCAAGACGGAGTGGCCGACGCCTGGAAAGAAATTAATTTAATTTAATTTAATTTAATTTAATTTAATTTAATTTAATTAATTCAATTTGATTTAACTTCATTAATTAAATTAAAAATAAAAAGAAACTCGTGCAATTTATTGCCAAGTAGTCCCATTAATAAAGTTCTTTTCAAACTACATTTTGAACACCTTTGAGCCAAAGCGCAGCAGTCTGCTGCTGCTGCTGCTGCTGCTGCTGCTGCGGGGCGCTTTTGACTTCCTGTACTTCTATTCATTTTCCACTTCTAAGCACATTTCTTCTATTATTCAATTTAATTAATTTTAATTAATTAATTAAATTAATTAATTAATTAATTAATTTATTTATTTATTTACCTGTCCCCAAATTGTGAATCATCAAAAGACCCCCAGGCGCCTCCAGCAGCTTCCGCAGCGCCGCCAAATGCCCAGCGGCCAAATCGTCCACATGCAGGTAATCCCGCACGCCTTCGCGCAAACCCTAGCAGGGTTTAGGGTTTAGGGTTTAGCGTTCGGGTTTAGGGTTTAGCTTTAGGGGTTAGCTTTAGGGCTTGGGGTTTAGCTCTAGGGTTTAGCTTTAGGGTTTAGCTCTAGGGTTTAGCTTTAGGGTTTAGCTTTAGGGTTTAGGTTTAGGGTTTAGGTTTAGGGTTTAGGTTTAGGGTTTAAGTTTAGGGTTTAGGTTTAGGGTTTAGGTTTAGGGTTTAGGTTTAGGTTTGGGGTTTAGGTTTAGGGTTTAGGTTTAGGGTTTGAGTGGAGGGTCTGGGGCTTCGGGAAGGGTTTAGGGTTTAGGGTTTGGCACCCGTGCCGTCGGGGGTGTCCCAGTCGCTGCCGAAGACCTGCAGCAGCTGCTGCTGCCCTGCAGCAACTTGCTGCAGCACTGGCAGCAAATTGTTTGGCTGCTGCGGGGCCTCCCCCAGCAGCCCGCTGGGGTGGGCCCCCACGGGGTTGAAGTACCTCAGGATTGAGACGCGCCAGCTGCTGTCCGCCGCGTGCACGTCCTGCGCAAACCCTAAATTAGGGTTTAGGGTTTAGGGTTTGCGGCTTCGGGCTTGGGGGGGCACTGGTGAGGCGAAATAAAGCGAAATAAAGCGAAATAAAGTGGAGCAAAGGGAAACAGAATGAAATAAGGTGAAATAAAGTGAAATAGAGTGAAATAGAGTGAAATAAAGTGAAATAGAGTGAAACAAAACGAAACAAATGACATAATAAATAAAGTGAACTTGCTTTAAGGATTTGTTCTATGAAGGCTTTGGAGTGGCCGTAGGGATTCGAAGGCCCCAAAGGGTCTTTTTCGTTTATTTGCATTTTTGGCTTCGCCGCGTAAACTGTTGCTGAAGACGAGAACACCAGAGTCTTCACGCCGCTGGCCTCCATCGCCTGCAGCAGCAGTAGCAGCAGCAGCAGCAGCAGCAGCAGCAGCGGCAGCAGCGTTAGCAGCGGCAGCAGCGGCAGCGGACACAAGCAGCAAACCCTTCTCCTGCTAAGGCTGCGGCTGCTGCTGCTGCTGCTGCTGCTGCCGATGGAGGTGGCCCTCTCTGCCCAGAAGCAGCACGAGAAACCTCCGGGGCGCAACACGGCCCGGTATTCTGCTGCTGCTGCTGCTGCTGCTGCTGCTGCTGCTGCTGCTGCTGCTGCTGCTGGGATTGGCAGCAATGCCCACCTGCAGCAGGTTGCAGGTGCCGCCGACGTTGTTCTCGTAGTACATCAAAGGCATCTGCACGGACTCCCCGACAGACTTCAGAGCTGCAGCAGCAGCAGCAGCAGGAGCAGGAGCAGCAGCAGCTGGAGAGGAAGGCGCGCTGCTGAGAAGCAAAGTGCGTGGGGCCTTCTCACCTGCGTAGTGAATAACGGCGTCGATTTTCTCCTCTTTGAAAAGCCGCATCACTTTGTCTTTGTCCCTCAAGTCCAGCTGCAGCACAGCAGCAGCAGCAGCAGCAGCAGCAACTCCAGCAGCAGCAGCAGCAGCAGCAGCCCGCGCACCAAAACAGCACGCACCCCCAGCAGCAGCAGCAGCCCAGCAGCACCCGCACCCCAGCAGCAGCAGCAGCCCCCCAGCAGCAGCAGCCCAGCAGCAGCAGCCCAGCAGCAGCAGCAGCAGCAGCAGCAGCAGCAGCAGCAGCAGCAGCACCCTGAGGACCCTGAGCTGCTGCTGGGAGGCGCGGGAAACGCTGCGGAGTCTGTCTTCGACTGCAGGCGCGGAGTTGGCGAAGTTGTCGGCCAGCAAAACTTCCGCGCCGGCGGCCAGCAGCTGCAGCGCCGTGTGGCTGCCGATGTAGCCCAGGCCCCCCGTGCTGCAGCGCAAGCAGCAGTTTTGGCAGCTGGTGCTTATTCTTCTTCGCATTCTTGTTCTTATTTTTGTTCTTATTCTTGTTCTTGTTCTTATTTTTGTTCTTATTTTTGTTCTTGTTCTTTTTCTTATTCTTGTTCTTGTTTTTGTTCTTGTTCTTGTTCTTGTTCTTGTTCTTGTTATTGTTCTTATTCTCATTCTTGTTCTTGTTCTTGTTCTTGTTCTTATTTTAATTCTTGTTCTTAGTTCTTATTATTAATTCTTATTTTAATTCTTATTATTAATTCTCCTTTTAATTCTTGTTCTTAATTCTTATTAATCAGTTGAACTGGTCAAGTTGATTCGTTGGAGCCAATTGGGTCGAAGTGGTTTCGCTGGCTGTGCACTCTTCGGGAGGCGAAAGGAAATGGAGGGCTGCTTTTGAAGGCTCTGCCATTCATGCCATTCTGCCATTAATGCCATTCTGCCATTAATGCCATTCTGCCATTAATGCCATTCATGCCATTCTGCCATTAATGCCATTCTGCCATTAATGCCATTCTGCCATTAATGCCATTCTGCCATTAATGCCATTCATGCCATTCTGCCATTCATGCCATTCTGCCATTAATGCCATTCATGCCATTCTGCCATTAATGCCATTCTGCCATTAATGCCATTCTGCCATTAATGCAATTCATGCCATTCTGCCATTCATGCCATTCTGCCATTAATGCAATTCATGCCATTCTGCCATTCATGCCATTCTGCCGTTATTTTATTGGTCCCATTATGCCATTATGCCATTCTGCCATTATGCCATTTTGCCATTAATGCCATTATGCCATTAACGCAATTCTTCGCATTCTGCCATTATTTTATTGGTGCCAGTAATGCCATTATGCCATTCTGCCATTTATGCCATTATGCCATTCTGCCGTTCTGCCATTACCTTATTGGTCCCATTATGCCATTATGCCATTATGCCATTCTGCCATTAATGCCATTATGCCATTATGCCATTCATGCCATTATGCCATTCTGCCATTCTGCCATTCTGCCATTAATGTCATTATGCCATTAATGCAATTCATGCCATTCTGCCATTATTTTATTGACGCCATTATGCCACTAATGCCATTCTGCCATTATGCCATTAATGCCATTCTGCCATTATGCCATTATGCCATTATGCCATTATTGGTGCCATTATGCCATTATGCCATCAATGCCATTCTGCCATTCTGCCATTATGCCATTAGTGCCATTCTGCCATTATTTTATTGGTGCCATTAATGCCATTACCGCCATTATGCCATTAATGCCATTAGCGCCATTAATGCCATTAACGCCATTATGCCATTAACGCCATTATGCCATTAACGCCAGTATGCCCTTAATGCCATTAATGCCATTACCGCCATTATGCCATTAATGCCATTAACGCCATTATGCCATTGACGCCATTATGCCATTGATGCCATTAACGCCAGTATGCCATTAATGCCAGTAAGCCAATAATGCCATTAATGCCAGTATGCCAGTGTGCCATTGTGCAACACCATTAACGGCATTAATGGCATTAATTGTATTAATGGCATGGCATCAATTGTATTAATGGCATAATGGCATTAGTTGTATTAATGCCCTTAGTGGCATTAATTGCATTAATGCCATTAAGTGTATTAATGGCATTAATGGCATTAATTGTATTAATGCCATTAATTGTATTAATGGTGTTAATGGTGTTAATGGCATTAATGGTATTTGTGGCATTAATGCCATTAATGCGATCAATGGTATTAATTGTTTTAATGGCATTTGTGGCACTAATGCCATTAGTGGGATTAATGGTATTAATAGTATTAATTGTGTTGATGGTGTTAATGGTATTTGTGGCATCAATACCATTAATAGTATTAATGGCATTAATGGCATTAATGGCATTTGCATTTCACTTTTTGAAAAGTGGGGGTTAAGAAGTATGGCATTTCTGCACTTAATTCTGGACAACTCATTTTCGGGCTTTTCTGAACTTCATTTTAAATGGCATTTGGAATGATTAATTCATTCTTCGACTTGTCCGCATTTCATTTGAAATAATTAATTCATTTATTTTGTTTTTGGACTCCAAACAGTTAATTCATTCTCTCGTTTCGTTGCAAAGAATTCAATTTGCAAAAGTGTTTTCGGAGGAATAAGTGCAAATTGATTTTGTTCAAAAAGCCGTTTTGAAAGTTGAATTAAACTGGGAATTCAGAATAAATAGAATGAAAGCATTAAAGAAAAGAACTTCAATTCAAAAAGCTGATATGAAAGTTTAATTTAAATATTTGAAAATCAAAAATAGAAGTTTTCGAAAACATCAAAGAAAAGAAGTTCAACTTCTCGCAGTTGCAAAGAATCTGAAAATGGGCGAAGACAGCGGCTAGCTGTTGTTATGGAAGTTGAGTTCAGAAGTTGGATTTAAAAGTTGAATTTAAAAGTTGAATTTAAAAGTTGAATTTAAAAGTTGAATTCAAAAGTTGAATTCTGAAAAGATGGATTCAAAAGTTGAATTTAATAGTTGAGTTTTAAAAGAAAGTTAAAAAGAATTTGCAAGTTGGAATTACCAGAGGATCCGGAGGCCGGCGAGGGGCTCCATCGTTGAAACGCGACGAAGACGGAAGTGGGAAATGCAATATAAAAATAAAGGTGGAAATAAAAATAAAAATAAAAATAAAAGTGAAGAGTTGGAGGGGGGTGAAGGGCTGGGGTTGCGGTGTACGGACAGCTGGCTGGGGTCGCCGCCGACGCGGCGATCAGCACGGAAAGCGAAAGCTCAGAAAGGAAATAATTCGACTTGGGAGTAATTAAAGAAGTTTAAATGAATATATTTTGCAAAACAAACTTTTTAATTTCCAGTTTTCCGCTGGCTGCCTGCGCCGACGCGCCGCTTCCACCTCCGCATGCAGCCGCGAGCCGAAGATAGGAGGCAGCTGGCTGTCTTCGGCGGTCTTTTCTGCAACAAATAAACAAAGTGGAAATGTTTTGAATTTAAATTCAGCTTTCTAAACTCCAGACGAACCATTCTGACGAACCATGCTGCAGTAGGAAGACCAGCAGCAGCAACATGCCAGCTGCTGCAGCAGCTACTGCAGCAGCTGCCACCGAGCACTCTCTTCACCGAATTCTTCCAAATTAAATCCTCAAATACTCCAAAATATCCTTTAAATCTAATTCATATTGCTGAGAGCCTCATCGCAAAAGAATCCACAAACAACACCACCAAAAAGAAAATTAATTTTCATCCTTTGGACGCCTTTAGTTGTTGAAGAAGACGAGGTGTACGTACACCTCAAAGGCACAGCAGCGCGTCTCGTTTTGGCTTCAGCAAATGCTTTAATCAGTAATTAAAGGACCTATTATTACTATTATTCTTATTACCATTATTACCATTATTGCCACAATTATTATTACCATTATTACCATTATTGCCACTATTAGTATTACCATTATTGCCATTATTACCATTATTAACATTATTGCCATTATCATTATTATTACTACTACTACTATTATTATTATTAATATTATTATTATTATTATTATTATTGTTATTATTATTATTATTTACCATTGCTGCCATTGTTGCCATTATTATTATTATTACTACTATTACTGTTATTACTATTATTATTACTATTAATATTATTATTACCATTATTATTATTATTATTGTCGTTATTATTACTAGTATTAACTTTATTATTAGTAGTACTACTATGCTTTATTATTACTATAATAATTATTATTATTATTTTTACTATTATTATTAATATTAATATTATTATTATTA